TATTTCCCATCTCTATAGTCCGGCGCGGTGGCGGGGATCCCATCTCACGCTACTTTAGCAACCTCCTCGTCAATAGCACCCCCAAGCGCGCCAATCCGTTGGACACACAACAACATGACGAGGTTGGCGACAAGGTGTTGTCACTTGAGATATTTCATTATTGCTCGCTAGTTGATTATGTCATTAATATGAGTTAATATAATTTTTAAGAGTTATTGTTGACATGGTTAGTTATAATCTTTGACCTGGTTTGCAGATGGATAAATAAAACACCTAGAGACCCTAAATTCAAGACAACACAAAAACAAGACTCTAAGTAGGAAAAATATAAAAAATGATCATAAATTAGGTGGACAAAATGTGATAATTCGAAGAAGAAGAAAATTACTTGAACAAAGCAACGGAAAACACAAAATATTTTTGAAACACATCTTGAGTGCATGTTTTCACTGGAACCATTTGACTTGGAACCGGTCCCAAAAAATTAGCGGTGCCAAAGACAATGAACCGAAACACAAACATGAATTTAGGACCGACTAGGACTATCTAGTGAGTTTCCCATAAGCTTACATTGACATAATTTGGAAATTTCTACCAAGATACTTCTTAGAATTGTATGATCTAGAACGTTGTACCAAGATACTTCTTAATTGTATGATCTAGAACATTTTACCATGATACTTAAGAATACCGCGATGAAGGCATACCCGTCTAAACACACCATACCTATCTAAGTGCTAAACATTAACATACAACACACAGAATAATGTGAGCTTATCTTTTATAATTTGCAATGTATTAAGGAAGAATTTTGTTTGACAAAGGTTATCTCAAATGGCATGCACTACAAACTAAAATTCTCTTTCTTACATCGTGGTTTCTTTATTTAACTAAGTACTCCCTTTTAAACTAATATAAGACCGTTCAGTGACCTAAATGGTCTTACATTAGTTTACTAAACGGTCTTATATTAGTTACAGAGAGAGCATTATCTAAAAGTCTCAAATTAGAATCACAAAAAACAATAATGACTTTCTATCTCACTTAGCCTTTTAAAACCAAGTGTGGCGAACTCAAACCGCAATCTAATCTCATGTCAAATGTTAATGTGGCGAAGAGTTCTAAAAAATGAATCAGTTTGCGAGGACAAGATAGGAGACATGTGGTTTTAGTGTTTTACAACTTAAAAACTTTAGTTTGGCTGGACAATGTAGAAAAGATATGGTTTTGGTGTTTTACAACTTAAAAACACTAGTAACCAAAAATTGTACAACAAACCCGCGTTGAAACCTGCAGATAGTAGAACAATATAAAAAAATGCAAATCAAACCATCTATAGGATTACATAATTATATTATTAAGATCACTTGTGTCTTTTTTATCTAAACATGTACCAATAACTAAGCCCTACAACTATGTTAAGCGTATATATAAGTGATACATTCATATAACATTTTTTATTATCTTAGTTGACAAGCCGAGTCTCAAGACACAATTGGTGTCACCCTAGGGAGAGGACCATTGGTTGACGCAAACCCCCAGCACAGATGGCCCATTGTAGTCATGGTGTTCCTACTGTTAGTGTCGTTTTGGCACAATACCTTGCCTATTTTGCACCATCGATGCCCTTCTCGACAACAAAAATCCGCACCACCTTGAAACCCCTAAAGTTTTGTTCCCCTCCATCCCACCCTCACAGACATACCTCAAAGTCTTGGATCATGACTATTCCATTAAGGCCACCATGCTTTGTTCGCACTGATGGCTTCCCCTTGTTTCAACTTCTCTTGTGCCTCCTCTATGTAGCAATGAAGAATCAACTATAATGAGAGGCGCGCGACAGACACATGCATAGAAAACGTGCTTGACTAACGACCTCCTCATTGTCTATACTGACTACAATAACAAAGTGTTGTCAGAAATGATGGGGCCAAGTGCATCTCCAATAGATTAGTTAAACTCATTTGCTATCCTCAAAAACAGAAAATATTCCCAAAAATGTGCTCCAACAGATGACCTAAATGGTTTACTATCCCAATAAAATTAGGTAAAGCATTAAATATATGTCTTCTCTCCAAATAACAAACCATTGCATCAATGCAAACTCTTCTCTATACCAACATGGACCAATCCTTTAGGGCCACTTTCCCTTCTTGTCACGTGTCTCATCCTCCTCTTGGGCATCGCGAGCCCTTGCAAGTTTCTTGTCCTATCTTCTTGACAAGCCTCAATCTCTTTGTGTGCCCTCTCTTCCTCACGCTTCTTGCGCTCGTTCTTCTCCTTCTCACGGCGCTCCCGCTCCAATCCCTGTGCAAAGGACTCCTCGAACAGGCACTGCCTCCGGAAGCAATCTCGACGTTGGTCCTCTTGGACATCTTTTGGTACCTCGTGATCTATATCCAAGTGAAGTACTTGCAAAGTGGAGGAGGCGACTACATAAAAATCATGTTTGTGTTAGTAATATGAGTTCAAACATATTTACATTTTTTGTATGTACGTCTAACATACCGGTGGTAGGTCATATGTGTTAGTTGGCCGAGCACGATCATGTGCATAGTTGGGACACACGAAAAACCTTCTACCTTCTGTCCATGACTTTTTGCGGTCAGTGGACACCTTCACCTTGCAAACATCACCACACCAACATGGTGGTTTGGGCACATCCTTCTCCTTGTCCAACCTGGCCTCACTCCACGTCTTCGGCATGTCCTCTCGGTCCACGCATGATGGCCTCGTCCTGGAACCGGATGAAGCCATGCCTACAAGAGGAAAAATTGTTGGCAAAATACATGAACAAAGTAAACAAGAAATAGTAGGAAGTATATGCACAAATAATATACCATTATTATTATATCAACCATCTAGATTATGCAAATAACCGAAGGCCGATCCATTATCAACCATTCCTCTACGACGACCACCACCTCTAGCACTTGTGCTTCCTGTACGACCACGACCATCACCTCTAGCACTTGTGCTTCCTCTACGACAACCACCACCACCTCTAGCACTTGTGCTTCCTCTACAGCCACCACCACCACCTCTACTAGTTGTGCTTCCTGTACGGCCACCACCATCACCTCTTCCACCTCCTTCACCACCGGAGCCACCTCCACGACTTGTCTTTCCTCTACGGCTAGTGCTAGGAATGCCCCCCTTTGAAGTTTTTCTTTTCTTGCATGTCCACTACTAGAAAAAGGGCTATAGATGGGATTGATACTAATGGCGCACCAGACAAGCGGTGCGCCATTAATATATACTAATGGCGCACCACCTACTGATACGCCATTATAGTTGAAACTACTAATGGCGCACCCGGCACCGGGTGCGCCATTAGTATCAAAAAAAAATTGACTAGCGCGCCTGTCCAAACATAGTAATGGCGCATCCAGACACAGTGCGCCATTACTAGTTGTAACTAGTAATGGCGCACCTGCCGGAAAGTGCGCCACTAATGTTGTTTTTTTATTATATTTTTATTCCCTTTTTTGCAAAACTACTAATGGCGCACTATTCCACCGTGCGCCATTACTAGTTTAAACTAGTAATGGCGCACTGTGGGACAGTGCGCCATTAGTATTTTTTTTGCAAAACTACTAATGGCGCACCACCAGGAGGTGCGCCATTAGTAACATGGATTACTAATGGCGC